GGGGGTGGATAGTAGGGTAGGAGAGGGTAGTAGTGTAGAGGTTCTATGCTGTAGGATTGTCTCTATTCTTAAACCGTTGTGAGTCTTGTGCAAAGTTGAGTACAGCCTGAAGCTGTGATGCTGTTATTCTCTAATTGTTGTCTTTACTCTGGGTAGCTGCGGTATTGCTTAGTGGCTTTCCGCCGAGTAAGGCTGATAGGCTGTTCTTTTCTAGTCTACTATCTTAGAATATCTTCTGTCGGCTTTCCTGAAGTAGAGAGTAGTTGAGGAGAACGTAGGAAACTAATTCGACTTCTCCGTATTTGTATTGTTTGTTGTTGATCTAACCTATTCGTGTGCGGTATTGGTTGAGCTAGTAGTGGCCGGTTCGTAGTATTACGGGTTTCTAGCGCGTTCCTTGTAGTTCTTACTAGTAAGCGCTAGCTAACGGTTTGTCTTTGTTTGTTATTTGCTAATTGTTGTTTGTTTATGTTTCGCTTGTTATCCCTTGCTTAGCGCCTAGCGCCTACTAGCGAGCTATATATATAGCCGCCGCCTCTCGTTCTCTTCCTTTCCTCTTCGTACCACGTCTTATAGTCAATCCTATATAATCTGATTTGAATCCGCCTTATTGCCGTGATACTACGTGGTACTACTAATTCTTAACTAGCGCCTTACCTGGTTACTCTTTATTCCCTTGCCTTGTTACCCTAGGAATTAGGATACCTCGTTCTAGAAATACGTCTGTAGACGGACTCCCGCCAACTAACGATCTCGCCTAGGAACTAGCGTGCCATTGCCGCTAAACTCTTAAAAACTATTATAGATAACTAAATTTACTAGGACTCTAGCGCGCAGCTAACCCTAGTAGACAAATTATTTAACAACGCTGAGGATATTATCAACGCCCTAAAATAAGACCCTAAGGGTATCTTCGAACACCTACGTAATTAAGCCGCCTAGGCAAATACCTACGTCGACTCTAATACTCGCGAGAAAGAGGCCCTCCGGCGCGAGGCTAATCTTAAGACTTAGCTAGGCACGCTAACCTAGCTCCTAATAGATATAACTACTAGAAGTACCGCTCCTAGCCGCTCTGCTAAGCACCCCGATCCTAAGCCTTTCGACGGTATAGATACTGCTAAGTTTCCTCCCTAGCTACTCGCTATACGTATTAAGCTCTAGAATAATACCGACCATTTTAACTCTAAGAAAGCTCGTATAGGCTATATCTATTCTCGCCTTTTAAGCCATGCCTAGATATTCCTCAGCTCTTTAATTACTAAAGAAGGCGACTTTAGCTTCGCTAACGTTGATAAGATATTTAAGATACTTTAGGGAATCTTCGACGACCCTAACCGTAAAACTAACGCTACAGCTCGCCTAATTAATCTTCGCTAGACTAATAGGCTATTTTCTAACTTTATCGCCTCGTTTAAGAAGGAAGCTGCCTACGCGGGCTTCAACGACTCCTATACTCTCCGCGCTATCTTGCTTAATACTATTAGTATAGAACTAAAGTAGTATCTCGTCACTAATAACGACTATAAGAGTGTTATAGACCGTAAGGGAAATCAACCCGTAGGGTCGGAAAGACCTTATAGGAAGAAAGCCCATACGGGCCTGGAAACCTCAAGGGCTTAGTAACTACAAAGGCCCGCGTCCTATAAGGCACCAGCAGACACGTGCTAGACAAGGCCGTAAGGGAACTAAGACCATAACCCTAAAAAGCCTACACGGGAATACACCCCGCAGGGACTTAGTCGACTAAAAGGCGACGACTCTAGGGAGCCCGCAGGGGATTAACGCCTACAAGGACGAAAGCAGCAAGCCGACAAGTAAAACCACGGAGCGATCGAGGATAAGGAACTTATCGCGTCCGCTCTACAACAAGAAGGAAGGTTATCAGGTCGCAGGAAGCTAGCTGGTAGAAAAGCGGCACCAAGGTCACGTACAGGACCCACCTTAGATTATAGTAATCCAACGTCTCTGATCCGAAAGACGCACGGACTAATAGATTATAGTAATCCTGTATCTTTAATCTAACCCTCCTAATCCAAGGGTTAGGACCCAGATTGTTAGCATCTCCTACATGTATTTAGACCACGCTCTCTAGCAGTAGATAGGACCTTCGTGGTTAACTTAAAGTATTAATCTCTACTAAAGGTTGATAGTAATACGCCTACCCCGATATTCACGTAACTTGTCTCTCAACTTCCTACACTTCTTATCCTTTAAGGTAAACCCTTCGAACCTACTCACCCGTTAGGCTATTCCAACGCCTAAGCTGAAGAGGCCTCGTTACACTTTAACCACCTTCCTTGCAAGAAGAAAGGAAGACTTAAGACCGAGTTAAGATTAATTAGTAAAGTATCACCCCGTCCTATCTAATTTAAGACAGGATAAGATGTCAACAGTCGACATAAACGACGGCAGCAGCATCCCCCAGGAGTAACAGCAGCAGAGGAACCCTACGACTCTGGATAATATCTTCGCCATGATACAAGGCATGCAGGGACAAATAGCCAACCTCTAGTCGCAACTAAACGATTAGATGCAGGAAAATGCACGCCTTCGAGCCCGCATCAACTAAGGGCAAGTTCTATAGACGGGTCCGCTAGCGCAGGAAAACACAGCCCCAGCAGCCCTACTACAGGGAGCTTAACCGGTTCAACCTGCGTCCGCGCCCGCCGCCGCATTACTCCCAGCTGCACTAGCTACATCCCATGCCAAGGTTCCAAAGCCTAATCTCTACTATAGAGACCGGCACAAGACCCAGAACTTCCTTACTTAATTAGACGACTACCTCTACTTCTCGCGCGGACAATTCGCCGACGACGAAGAAAAGGTCCTATACGCCAGCACTTACCTACGCGGCGCAGCGGAAAAATGGTTCCGTCTAATAAAGCGAGAACGCCAGGAAAAACAGCAGTAGGAATAGACCGATCGAACTTAGGAGGTCTTTAACGACTACCGAACTTTCGTTAAGTATCTTAAAGAAGCTTTTACGGACATCGACGAGACCCGCAAGGCTACAAGAACGCTTCAAACCCTAAAACAAAAGAAGTCAGTGTTAGAGTACACCACAGACTTCTAGAACGCGGCATACGTAGCCGGACATCACACCGACTACACGCTTAGGACGTTCTACGCCCAAGGATTAAAGGACGAAATTTAGGAAGCAATAACCTACCACGAGGAACCCGACAATCTTGCGGAAATAATTTAACTCGCTACTATATTAGACCGCCGCCGCTTACAGCGCGGCTAGGATAAGCAAGCTAATACATCTCGATCTATAAGGCCAAGACACACCCAAGAAGGAGGTGACGCCATGGAATTAGACAGCTCATCCCGGGACAACAAGGACAAAGGCAAAAAAGGAAAGAACAACCGCAAAGCCCACAGCAAGTAGACCGATCAACAAAAGGAAAGGTTTAATAAGAACCTCTATATCCACTATGGTAACAAATAGGAACCCGGATACAGCTGCCCGCAGAATCCGCGAAACAAGGACAAAGGGAAAGAAGCCGCTGCCACTAATCAAACTACGTCAGTAGCAGCCCGAAAAGAACCTAAGCATAGAACGCTCAGTTAGACTGCATGTTACGACGACAACTGCCGGATCTATCAAAGTAAGAAACTAGTCACAGGATGGTTCCCACGCAAGCCTAAGAAGCAAACGGCTAAGCAAGTCCGTAACGCGAACAAGTAGGAAACCCCTACCAAGGAAGAACTCTAAAGAATCATAAAGGAATTCCCGGAAGACGATCTGCTAGTCAACAGCGACAACGGCGAACTCTACGAAGATACGCCGGGCTTAAGCAACCAAGGATCTAAAAAAGGATAGTTAAAAAACTAGACGGCCCTGCACAGCAATACACGGGACCCTTGCAGGGGCCGGAGTCTAGGTCCCTGAACTAGGTAATTAGAACAGCGAACGGAACTATACCTACCGGAACAAACCTTTGGAAACACCTTGTAATCACCGCCAAAATCAATAGGAAAAGCGCTAGGATTATAATAGACAGCGGAGCAAGCGGTAACTTTGTTAGTCCCGCCTTCGTCATCAAAAATCGCCTACTACATCAAGCTAAGGACGAGCCTTACGCGCTTAATACGGTTGACGGAACACCCTCCACCTACGGAAAGGGTTAGGTACAAATCGAAACCAACTAATCTACCCTTATTATTAGCCAACACAAGGAAAAAATCAACCTAGATGTCACAACCATCGCCTCCTATAACATAATCTTAGGAATACCATGGTTGAGAACACATAAACCTTACATTCGATAGAGAACAGGAAAAGTTACGTTCCCAGATAAGGATTACAACCGACACCTTATAAAAGCTCAGCGAACAACCGAGAGCCACGCAAACGAGAGCCCAGAGAGCCAGAGGAAAGGAAAGCCAGAGCTTAGGAGTCAGAGCCAAAGCAGCCAGAACCAGGAAAGCCAGAGCTATAAGTACCAGAGCTCCAGAGGACCGAGCGTTCAAAACGGACCGAACAGTACGCGCGCTTCCCAAAAGGACCCCTCGGAACAAAATACCGAAACCTCCGAACCAATCGAAATCAAGGAAATCTCCGCCGTAGCGCTTAAACGAATAAGACGCAGGGGAGAAAAGATCTACATAATGTATTTAAAGCCCAGTCAAGAAACGGAAAAACGAATTCTAGCACACATGCAGGCCAGTAGGCCAAAAACCGACGGGCTAAAACCGGCCCTCGGAGACGATCCAACCAGGATCAAGGAAGGTCACCCACTAGGGGGAAAACCCATACCTGCGAAAGGAATATACCAGCCTAGTACGCCTCCAAAGCGAGAACGGGAACCGCCCATTCTAGAATTGGAAACGGTACCAGAAGAATACTAGGACTACCAAGCCATTTTCCAAGAACGAGGCAAAGGCCAACTCCCGGAACATAAGCCATAGGATCACGAGATACCCTTATTACCAGGCACGCAGCCAGCGTTTAAGCCCATCTACGCGCTATCCGAAAAAGAAAGCGAAGCACTTAGGGATTACCTAGATAAGAATCTCGAACGCGGCTACATCAGGCCATTAAGCTCGCCAGCCGGATACCCAATCCTCTTTGTTCCAAAGAAGAATGGTAAATTACGCCTCTGCGTCGATTATCGTCAGCTAAACGATATCACCATAAAAAACCGGTATCCATTGCCGTTAATTACCGAGCTTCAAGACAAGCTACGGACGGCAAAATACTTCACGAAACTCGACCTTCGAGAAGGCTACTATTTAGTACGCATGAAGGAGGGTAAAGAATAGAAAACCGCGTTTAGAACCCGCCTAGGATATTACGAGTACACGGTTATACCCTTTAGTCTTATAAACGCCCTAGGAACGTTTTAAAGTCTAGTTAACGATACGTTACGCGACTATCTAGACGTCTTCTATATAGTATACTTAGATAATATACTCATCTATTCGGAGACCCTAGAGGAATATAAAGAATATATTAGGAAAGTATTCTAGGCACTACAAGGTAAAGACCTATAAGTAGCACCAGAAAAGTACGAATAGCACGTCTAAAGGACGGAATTTCTAGGCTTTATCATCTCACTAGGATACGTAGAGATAGACGAAAAGAAGCTAGATACTATACGAGACTAGCCAATACCTAGAACCGTCAAAGAAGTATAATCCTTCCTTAGATTTATTAACTTTTACCGAAAATTTATCTAGAAATACGCCGAAGTCTTAGAACCCCTCACGAAACTCGTACGAAAAGAGCATAGATTTAACTAGGGAGAAGCTTAGCAAACCGCCTTCAATTCGCTAAAATAGATATTCTACGAAGCTCCCGTTCTAACCTAGAAACCCCATAGTAGTTAGGGCAGACTAC